TTGGAAAGCTATTTAAGTACTTGGATAGAAATCCAACTCTGGAAGCTAGAATTGGGAGGTTAAAGGGGAAAAAACTGCATGCAGAGAAGAGCAAAACACTTCACTACTACGGGTAAGGAAGCTGAACTCAATTCAAAGGCAACGGTGCCTTTTTAGTGACAACACCCCAGTGGCCTTCTCAAAAAATATTAAGTAGGTCAGATCAAGGTATAACTCTGGATGAGAGACACTGACTAGTACAATGTATCTCAACCTTGGCAACTTTAAGGCATGGGGACTTCAACTCCCAGAATTCTCCAGCCAGTATGGCTGGCTGAGGAATTCTGGGAATTGAAGTCCCCGTATTTTAAAGTTGCCACGGTTGAGATGCATTGCACTCGGAAATCCCTTGGATAAAGACAAAACAGGAAATTTGAGACTTCGCCTTTTCTCCTCCCTTTTCCCTTGGGGCAGGGAAGTGGGGAATGTAGTAGTAGCAAAAAGGAGAACTAAGGCCCTTCTGCATAATCCCACTGAATTACAGGAACTGACAGATCAGATGAACTCCACTGGTTTAGGATAATCCCGGAGTCTGGTCCAGGCAGGCCAACTCCCATTTGCTTTTCAACGGGGTGAATGAATCAACTGGACTTGGGACCAGAAATGTCAGGAAATTTAAAAGCATCTCACTCGCCACCCGGGCCCGCCCCGGCTCCACCTTCAGGACTGTGATGAAGGACCCATCTCTCCTGCCCCTTGTTGTTGTTAATTGCGAAGTCGTGTCCAACCATCGTGACCCCATGGACAACGTTCCTCCAGGTCTTCCTGTCCTCTACCATCTTCTGGAGTCCATTGACGCTCCCGCCTCCTGCTTCAGGGACTCCATCCAGCCACCTCCTTCCCTGTCGTCCCCTTCTTCTTCTCTTGCCCTCCATCTTTCCCAGCATGAGGCTCTTCTCCAGTGAGTCCTTCCTTCTCATTAGGTGGCCAAAGGACTTGAGTTTCAACTTCAGGATCTGGCCTTCTAAAGAGCAGTCGTGGTTGATCTCCTTTAGGACCGACCGGTTGGATCGCCTTGCAGTCCAGGGGACTCGCAGGAGTCTTCTCCAGCACCAGAGTTCAAAGGCCTCCATTCTTTGGCGCTCAGCCTTTCTTATGGTCCAACTTTCACAGCCACACATTGCAACTGGGAAGACCATGGCCTTGACTCTACGCACTTTTGTTGGCAGGGTGATGTCTCTGCTTTTTAGTATGCTGTCTAGAACAGGTCTATTTCACTTATCTTAGGAAAGGCCATCCTAATATTGGTGGTGGATAGAAGCTGGCCCTGAAGCAGGAAATAAACTTTGTTCATTTCCTCCTTTGTTTGCTTGATAAGCTCCTTTGAGCAACAATTGATTTCATTTACTTCTCTTTCCTGAGTGATTTCTTTTTAATAAAAGAATCAAGTCCTGGCTTTGAGTGGGTGGGTGAGTGGGGGGGTAGGGAGAGTGGAGGACCAAGTCCAGACCACAAATGAGCCCAAAATTTCCTTTGTTAAGCAAGACAGCCGATAAGTGAGTTTTACCCCATTTTACGACCATTCTTGACACAATTGTGAATCAGTGAAGCATTGCAAGTTGTTAAATTAGTAACACAGCTAAATGAATCTGGCTTCCCCCATTGGCTTAGCTTGTCAGAAGGGGATCACGCGACCCCAGGACACTGCGACCATCATAAATGTGAAAAATGGTCATAAGTCACTTTTTCAATGTCATAAATCTGAATGGTCACTAAATGACTAGTTCTAAGTAGGCAAAATTAGATATAGCTGGACACCCAACTTTTCAGGTATCAAATTATGCTCGAAATTCCATTTAAAGGCTCGCCTTGTTTTTTAAAAAAACTCCCCCACACAGACTTTCTTTCTTTCCCTAGACTTTTTGAGAAAAGATGGCGATATTGTTTTAAATACTAAAAAGCTTTGCAGAGGCCCATGTGTAAGGCCCAGGAGAAACCATGAAAAAAAAAAGATATTAGAAAGATCGTGCTTCTTTACTGCAAGAAAAGAGGTTGCTAAAGCAAAAGCTACCGTACTCCTTTTGTGGAAACTTTGTGAACAGTGAAACCCAGAGTTGTGCAAGGAATATTGCTTGATTAAATGCTCCCATGATATAAACTTATATATTCACTTTTTACTTCCGAGCAAAGAAGAACATGCAGCGTGGATTTTTAAAATGTGTTTATTTTTGCTTTGGAACTCTTTCCACTCAATATGAGTGATGACATCATTTCCAGAAGAAAAAAAGAATTTGGGTACAGCTCAGAAGCATCTTATTCTGTGAAAAAACAAACTGAGCAAAATCATGCCTGTCCTTACGCAGACTAAAGAAGACAACCTATTAATCTGCAAGCTAATGAGGACGTACAGCCTTCTAACTACAGAGGACGAGAACTACAAAAACAACACTGCTGCAATTTGGGGAGCAAAATATTAGAAGTCTCTACTACCGTACTCAGAAAACAGCCTTGCAACTCTCAAACTAGAAAAAATCTTGCTTTGATAAGTATTTCCTTTCCTTCAACAGGGCCTGCCCATAGAAAGCAATCCAAAGTAAACAAAACAATGGTTTTAAGCTCCTGAAATGGAACTGAACCATTCACTTCTCACTCTTAAGTTGACTACATACGGGCAGCCCATGATTTATGGAAAGGGGGTGAAAAAATCCCCAGTCACTACCACTGAGTGATTGTTGTGCAATCCTAACTGTATAAAGAAGGTATTATGTGATAGTTCATAATATAAAGCATTTCTGGTAAACTCTGTGCTGCAGTGCCCAGAACCACACAGGAAAAGAAGGCAGAAACCATTTAAAAGCGGAGCCTTCAAACTACACTTGATATTGAAAAAAATGTTGAATTAAAATCAATGATTGAATTGAAAAATAGCCACTTTGGTTTGGTAGTGAAGGCATCAGGCTAAAAAGCAGGAAATGGCGAGTTCTAATCCTGCCCTAGGTGTGAAAAACCAGCTGGGTGACTTTGGGCCAGTCGCTCGCTCTCTCACAGCCCAGCCCACCTCAGAGGGGGCTTGTTCTGAGGAAAATAAGAGAAAGGAGTATTAAGCATGTTTGCTTTTTTATTTATAAAAAAAAATAAAGGTGAACTATAAATAAATATATTTTAGCAATCCCATTATCAGAGCTGTTTTTTTGACGAATGACAAGAACTTATTATTGTGGTTTTTAGTATCGCCTGTTCACCGCCCTGAGTCCCGTAAGGGAGATAGGGCGGTATATAAATTTGATAAATAAATAAATAAAATAAAATAAAATTGCTGGTAGCCACCTCTCCTTAACATCTTTTTAAGGAAGGGAATCTCACGGTACATGCTAGTATATATCAGCAAAACAAATTATGGGCATGTCGAAATCAAGTTCTTTGGGCGTGAAACAACACAAGCTATCCTCCAGGGAAATGCAAATTAAAACATAAACGATGGGATTTTTTTTTAAAAAAAATAAAACGATGTTCACTGCTTGTAGATGGGCCTCAATGATTAGAGAAGACTAAACAGTAAAACACAAGTCAAAAAGGTTTTCAAATGCAGGCAGTTGCCGGTTTAAAAGACCCAGAAATTGCTTTTTAGCGATTCTTCCGTTTGTCTTCCACTACAGTCTTCAACTGGCTTAATTCAGACACAATTCAGACAATTTTAGTCAAAGGTAATTCTGAACCAACAACCATCAGCAGAGTTTGGGACAGTGACCGAATAACGTTAATATCCCACAATTGAATAATATTGAGGTCCCTCAATCCGATCAACTTTGGACAGGTTTTATGATTACTTCCATGGCAATAGACGAGATTACTTTAGATCAGGGGTCTTCAAACTTGGCCCTTTTATGACTGGTGGACTTCAACTCCCAGAATTCCTCAGGCAGCAAAGCTGGCTGAGGAATTCTGGGAGTTGAAGTCCACCAGTCATAAAAGGGCCAAGTTTGAAGACCCCTGCTTTAGATATATGGTGAATGTTTACATGCAACTATTACTTTTAGGGTTTTTTTCCCACTTTTCGTATCTTTTTCTTTCTCCATCCATCGTGGACTTATCATCTTCATGCGGTTACTTAACGTTCGTTAATCCCCTTTTCAATCAAAGCCCCGGGATTCAAGCCAGCGCGGCCGAACGGGCGGCCTTCCTCCCGGGCAGCCGCGGCGGCGGTGAGCGGCGGAGCGGGCCGCAAGGCCGCCAAATGCCAGCCTGGATTCGGCGGCATTTCCGCCTCCCTCAAAACGGGCGAAGGGAGCCGGGGAAGCCCTTGCGGACGGGGGGTCCCCAAGAAGAGCCCCCCCCAAAAAATGACGCCCTTCCCGAGGCCGCCTGAAGAAGCTCGGCTGGTCCGAGGGGCGCCGCGATCGGGTCTTTCCTCCCCCCCCCTCCCGCAAAGCCGGACCGGCAAGGACCCCCTCGGCCGTTGGGGAGGGGGCGCCGGGAAGGGGGGGTCTGCGGGGGTCGCTCGCCCCTCGCTCTCTGAACGGCGCCTTCCCCCCGTCCCGGGCTCGCCCTTCCGCCCGGGGCCCCCGCAAAGCCCGCGGACCGGGGCCCAGCCGGGGATCCCTCCGGAGCAACTTCGGAAACTTCTCCAGTCCAGAGAGGCTCTTCTTCCAGTCCCGGGGGGGGGGGAAGGTGGAAGGTGGGGGGGGCTTTCTTTGCCTGCTGGCACTTCTACGCAAGGGCTGCGAGCCAGACATACACAAACACACACATACACAAACACACTACACACACACAAACACAGGCACGCACCCCCCGCCTGCAGGACCTGCAAAGCCAGAACTTGGGGGGGGGGGGGCGCCGATCCCGCGAAGGCGAGTCCGGGCAAAAGGCGCCTTTCCCCGAAGCCCCCCCCCCAGCGTCTCTTTTTCTCCCCCCCCCTCCGCTTACAGGGCGGGGGGGCGGCTGGGAGACAAGAGGAGCTGGACGCCCCCCCCACCCCCCCGCCCGATTCCCCCCCCTCTCCGGGGACGGGGCTCTCTTACCTTGATGCAGACCAGGTCGGGACCCTCCGACATGTCTGGGCGGGGGGTGGGGGCGCGCGAGCGGGCAAGGCGGGAAGTGGGGCCGGCTGCGTCTCTCCGCCTCTCCGCCTCTCCGCTCGCTCGCTCGCTCGCCTGGGCGCGTCTGCCGGTGCCTCCCCCGCAGCGGCTCCTGGGCCAGCCGGCCGTCCGGGCGGGCAGGCGGGCGAAGAAGGCGCTCTCGGATCAGCGGCCAGCCGCCCGCGCGCGCCTCCCCCGGCCCGGAAGGGCGCCTCGCATGGCTCGGAGCGGGCAGGCCCGACGCCGCCCTCCCTTCCCCTTCCCCTTCCCCTTCCCTCTCGGGGGCGCGCGCGCGTGGGGTGGGGCTCCTCCCCCCTTCCCCCTTCCCGCTCGCTTCCCAGGCAGGCAGGCAGGCAGGCAGGCAGGCCGGTGGGGGGCCGAGGAGGAGGCGGCGGCGGCCCCGGAGAGCTTCTCGGCTGCAAAGTGACGCCAGTTCCCGGCACCGGCTCTGCCCTCTTAAAGGCGCCGGCCCGGCAGGAAATGGGAGCGCGGCGGCGGCGGCGGCGGAAAAGGGCTCCGGTTGCCGGAAAAGAAAGCGGGGCGGGGGGGAGGGAGGAAGGAAGGAAGCGGGGGGAGGAAAAAAGCGGGGGGGGGGTCTTTGCAGCGGGGGCTGCCCTGCTGGGCTGCAAATCCTGCGACCCCCCCCCGCCGGGCGGAGGAAAGGGGTCGACAGAAGGGACCCGCGGGGGGGGGGGCTCCGTCGCGAGGCCCTCCCCGGAGAGCGCTGTCCCGCACCGGCCTGTTAAAGACCCGCCGGACGAGGCTGGATCGTCGGTTCCTCCTTTCAGTCCAAGGCTCAGACGGGCTTGGAAGTCACGGCAAAGTGGAGCAAAGTTGCCTTCTAGGGGAAATGGGCCGGATGATTGATTGATTGAGAAAGAGAGAGAGAAGTTGGAAGGGACCTTGGAGGTCATCTAGTCCAACCCCCTGCTCAGGCAGGAAACCCTATACCATTTCGGACAAGATAGACAGACAGACAGACATGATAGATAGATAGATAGATAGATAGATAGAGAGAGAGAGAGAGAGAGAGAGAGAGAGAGAGAGAGAGAGAGAGATGGAGGTATAGATAGATAGATAGATAGATAGATAGATAGATAGATAGATAGATAGATAGATAGATAGACAGATAGACAGACAGACAGACAGACAGACACATGATAGATAGATAGACAGACAGACAGACAGACATGATAGATAGATAGATAGATAGATAGATAGATAGATAGATAGATAGATAGATAGATAGATAGATAGATAGATAGATAGATAGATAGACAGATGATAGATAGACAGACAGACAGACAGACAGACAGACAGACAGACAGATATAGGCAGATAATGATAGAGATAGATTGATGATAGATATAGATAGATGATAGATGATATAGCAATAGGATAGATAGATAGATAGATAGATAGATAGATAGATAGATAGATAGATAGATAGATAGATAGATAGATAACCTTTATTGTCATTTTTTTACTGTGGCCACAATGGCACACATTAAAAATGAAAGTTGCTTGCTCTCAAAGTGTACACATACTGTACATAACTAACACACATTTAAATGTACTCTATACGACATATGTATAGCCCTCCACCCTTACATATAAGTAACATATCAATATTAATCACTGTCCATCTTGAATACATAATGGAAGGAAGAAGCTTTAGTGCATAAAAATGAAAATAAACCAAACCGACCTGAGGAGACAATTACCAAAGGGTGACAAAGCCATATAGGAGAACCCAATCACTTGTAGTCCTCAACTTACAACCGCTATTGGGAGGGGAATTCCCATTGCCGAGTAAAACAAGGGGTGCAAGAGGAAGGGAACTCTGGAGAACGATCGTAACCAACATTCCCTTGGTGTCTTCGTAACTTTGAACAGTTCCTGAATGAGTGGTTTTGAGGCGAGGACTGCCTGAAACTAAATTATCAGGATATTTTATTTGTTCTGATAGACGAATCCCCAACGGGCAGAAAAGTCAGGGCTGTGTGTTGCCCAGGATGAAGGCATTGGGGGAAAAAGTATGTCTACAAAAATAAACTCTAGCCAGTCTGATGGCACCATCTATTTGGAATAAGTAGATCTCTGGATGGTTATCGCAACCCTCTTTCTTCAGAGTTGACTCCGCACCAGCAAATGACTGTTGAATTGTCAAGCGATACCCAGAAAGGCAAAAAAGTGGCTCAGATGCCTTAGAAACTCTATTTTGTAGAGCATCTGCTAATGCAGAACCACTTGGTGGAAATTTTTGGACCAAGAACTTTGTGACTTAACTGAGCGCTCAGAACTTGCTATGTGTGTGTGAAGTGGAGGGCCAGACTCCAGTATTAGTGCCATGATTTTACAAGGTCCTCCCCAACATCTCCTGAGTAGGTGGGACATACTTGGTTGAACTTCCAGAAGGAAGACTGAGAGGAGACCACACTGAAAATATCCAAGTCCAAAAACGTGCAGAACTTTAAAGCTTAAGGGCAGGACTTAGGTCCAGAAACATAGGTATTTAAGCAGACTCAATTGCTTCAAACCCTATGAAAGTGAGAGGTTGAGGTGGTATTATGGGATGTCAACCTCCTGATGACCTCTTAACCTAAATCCGAAAGCTACCTTGCCAGAAGTCACCTGTGGCCTTTTACAAGGGGGGGGGGGGGGGGTTCGGTCCACTCACGGAGAAACTCTGAGGTTGGCAAAAGTGCGCACAAACTCTTCAGCACCACCTGCTGCAGCCTTTGGTCCAGCTAGCATGGCAGCCATCCCGGCTGTCTCATCGCAACACAAACTCTGCTGGGGCCACAGCTCCATCTGGCTGCGCAGTGGAGGGTTTTGACCGATCAAAAGCCACACAGCCTGGAGAAGCGCCAGCACTTTCTCCATTTCCTAACGCAAGTTGCCCACTTCTTTCTTCTTCCAATCAGATGAGAGGGGATGGAGTTGAAAAAGCACGATGGCCATCACTCAAGAGCTGAAATCTGATACTGACCTGTCTGGGAATCTGCTCCGTGGTACTCAATCCAGGTTAACTCCAGATACGATTGCCCTATTCGTGTACAACTGTTAGGATAGGACTTTCTGTTTTATAATTTTTCATGTTTACCCACACATTACTGTATATGTGAATACCATTAAGGTTTTTTTTTCCAGTTAGTAGTTTTTGGTATGGGCAGATATTCTTGTTTTCTTTTTTTTTAACCATTTTTCAGTTTAGAAATCACTTTGTGGCAGATAAAGTTGAAAAGACACCAACTGCAGCTACAATACTTTGTTCATTGCAGAGTGAAAAAATTAGACTAAAACATAAAGAAGGCCAAAGTAATAACAGGAAGTAGAGCAACCAGTTTTAGAATTGCCAATAAAAATATCACTTGTGGGGGTCTTCTACCTTTTAGCATCCACCATCAACAGGAAAGGAACAAGAGGCGAAGAAAGTAGAGCAGCTGTGAAGGTCTTGGAAAACATACTCTAATACTGTGGTACCTTGGTACGCATCATTAATGGGTTCCAGGAGATGCGATCAGTACCAAAAACGATGAGTACCAAACAAATTTTCTCCATAAAGAACAATGTAGTGAGTCACAAGGTAGCTGACACCGACAAGTTCTCCCTTGCATGTTGAATATCAAACAGAACAATGAATACCAAGATAAAATTTTCCTGTCGAAATGAATTGAGTACCAAGTTCAGTTAGTTTCAAAGCAGTTGAGTGCCAAGGTACCACTGTAGATGTCTATACCTACAAAGATCAGAATCATGCAGGCTCTGCTATTCTCTGACACTCTGTAGAAGCGACAGTTGGATTTTGAAGCAGAATAGGAAGAGTATTCATGCTTTTGAATACTCATTTTGGAGAAGGCTCCTGAGAATACCATGGAAGACCCATAAAAATAATCCAATGGATCATTGAACAAATCAACCCAGAAGTTTCACTCAAGATGCAAATGATCAGGCTCGAATTATGTCACATCGAACAATGTGAAAACCCAGCTTTGGAGAAAGCTCTAATGCTGTGAAAGACAGAAGGAAAAAGAAGAAGAGGACAACCAGAACAAGGTGGATGGACTCAGAGTAGCAATGGAGGTGCCATGGGTTAGGGACAGATTGTCATGGAGAAAATCTACCTATGTGGTCGATAGGAGTCGAAAGCAACTTGATGGCATATGATCAATCAATCAATCAGATCCATTATGCTTGGCTTCTTATGTTGCTATAGGATGAAAGGAGAAAACTTTGATACTTAAGCACACAATGCAATTAATTTCCTGTCAAACTGTGCTCTGTGTCATACATAACATTTGGTCATAGCAAAGTCCATATGTATGATCATAACAATGACCAGGTTGTGTTTTTTTTAAGTAGATACAATGGTTTAGCAAGGTTTTATAATGCATTTGAAACTGTGAACTGTTCTTATTAAGATAATCTTGATATATTTTAGCTTCTAATGGCAAATGTGGAATCCATTTCCTCCTTAAATCAAAATACAGGAAATCCAGTAAAATAACAAAACGCTAATGGAGCATTTTAGATTTAGCCTCTAAAAGGCCCTTCGGAGCTCAAAAGGGCACAAACATCCCTTTGTCTTCAAACCTTGGAAACAGCCATGTCTTTTACTGGAATCACTGGAGGAAAATTTATTCCAACACGAGGCTGATATAAACAATATCAAACAACACCCAACGTATAATTTTCATACAACAGCCCGTTTGGTCTATCTTAGCCATGAAAGCCGGCTGGGTGACAATGGGGAGGCTGCAAGGATCTTAAATGTGAACAATGGTTGTAAAGTCACTTTGTTCAGTGTCACTAAATGAATTGTTGCCAAAAAGGCCAACACAGTGCTAGGCTGCATTAACAGTGGGATAGAATCAAGATCACGTGAAGTGTTAATACCGGTTTATAATGCCTTGGTAAGGCCACACTTGGAATACGGCATCCAGTTTTGGTCACCGCGATGTAAAAAAGATGTT